CCCGCCTCTGCTCGCTCCCCGCGGTCCGATCCGCGCGGTGCTGAGCGAGCTCAGCCCCGGGCACGGCCGGCGACTTCAAGCTCTGCTTCCTCCCCGCCTCGCCCAGGTGTCAATGCCATGCTCAGGAAGGTGGCGGTGGCTGCCGCCTCCAAACCCCACGTGGAGATCCGCCAGGACGGGGACCAGTTCTACATCAAAACTTCCACCACTGTCCGCACCACTGAGATCAACTTCAAAATTGGAGAGAGCTTTGAGGAGGAGACGGTGGATGGACGGAAGTGCAGGGTAGGAGGAGAGCTGGGCCGTGTGTGTGTGCGTGTGTTACCAAGTTATTTTTAGATGGGACAAACACATCTGCTGCCGGTGTACCCAGACAGTGACATTGCTGTCCTCCACCTTCTTCCCAGAAACAGTCTTTAGGGGTTCTTGATGGTCACCGCTCCTCTTGTCCCTCATCCAACATTCTCCCTCTCCTAAGGTAAAACTGAAATCTGAAGGCAACAGAGCATGGCAGGTCCCAAAGGCAGAGTTTGAGTACCTGCTTGCTGGCTCCTTGACTGACAGAGTTTTGTCCATCTCTTTTTGCTTCCCTCTCCCCTGGAGACCTTAGCTGTAGTGAAAGCTCTCCCCAGCCTCTATCCCTGGTGGGAACATGGGGAACGGGGGAGCAAGAGAGACCTCAAGAGTCAGGATATAGTGCATAAACCTGACATAACTTTTGTCCTAAACTGAATCAGCCTAGTTCACAAGCAGGACCGCAGACTGCTAGTAGTTTGAGGCTGAAATCCACTTTCATGCCCTTGCAAGTTCATGTCTCCAGTTTGCTCATCAGGTAAGTCTTTAAAAGTGTAAGAGACTTTCAGCTAGTGTTATACCAGCCATAGTTACACCATCTCCTTGTGCAGAAGCACATTACAAGGCTTTCACTGGAGTGTTTTGGGCTTGATTCTCTGTGTGAGCCCCTACTCCCATACCTTTGTAAGCACTTCTGTGGCTGTGGAGGGGGCTATAAGTTGTCAGCGTCTGACACCAGCTTCTCACTGGTGTAGATACGTGGGATCCAAGATGTTGGAGAACTGGGCTGTGATCATAGATGTCTTTTGAAAAAAGTTATCAAAGGCATGGGTTAGTTATCCTTTCCTCAGGCACTTTACTCTCACACTTATAAGAGAAGTGTATATAAAACACTTATAAAAGAAGTATGAATAAAGAGCATCAGAATGTAGTCCCAAATGAGAATACAGTTTTAAAAGTAACCTATGATGGTGAAATAATCTACTTTCCAAAACATGATCTCTGGTAATTCTTGAGCCAGCTTCTGAGACCATTTGCAATGCTAAAAATTCAGAACTTACTATCTCCAGAGGAATTGCTGTGAATTTAAATTTATGAAAAAGGGAGGGAGATTCTGGGAGCCAGTGAATATTTAGAACATCCACTTTATCTCTAGGATGAGTTATCATCTATTTAACAGTTTGTTCAGGAAATGTTGTTGGCTTTGTTAATTTATCTTGTTTGGCAAAAGTAGTATTTTAGTGTCTTCATGCATAATGCAGAGACAATAAATGTGACCTGCTTTCTAGAGAGGATTTATTGCTGCAGATGGAAAAAAAATAATTACAGCTCTAAGCTATGAAAGTTGGAAAAATCTGAAAGAAATGTGTTTTGTGAAGTAGTAAATTTTTTCCATGTGTTGTGAAATTATTTATAGTCTACTCTCTGGAGTAAGTTGTACTGCTGTGTGTATATAACCAAGATGTGGCCACAGAGCAGAAACTGACAGATTATAAAATAATACTTCAGAATGTAATTTGCAATATCTGGCAAAATTGCTGACCGGTGATAGATTTTGATACATTTTATGGGGTGGAGGGTTCTGTTCTGCCAACTAACTTGATCCATTGTTCATACAGACAAAGAGCGAGTCATATGTAGCTGTACTGCAAGGCATAGCTTCTGTAGCTGCCATCTGAGATGGCTTGTTGGCTTAAAAAACCTATTGTTTTGAAAAAATATTTATAAAGTAAACAGTTAATTTTAAATCAAAGAAAAGGTTGGGGTTTTTTTCCCTTAGAAAGTCTGGGAAGTGTTAACTTGAATTTATGCATACATATGCATGCACACATGTATATATATGTGTGTATAATCACAGACTAATGAATGTCTCCCATGTGCTAGTTATAAAGCGATTACTTGCACATTCATTACAGGGCATCCTTCTGCACAGTTTCTTTAATTTATTTGTGATTTATTCTAGTTTGTTAGCACAGTAAGTGTTTAATATACAGTTAGCTTGGCACAGTGCCATATAGCATGGAAGGCTCTAAGTGGCAAATACTGCATGTCTATAACATGATACATACAAATTTTTTTGCTTTTACACTAAAGGGACTCTGTAGTGATAAATAACATGTCAGATCAAACCGTATGTGTACAAAGATGCTTGGAAATGTAAACACTAAATTATCACATGTTTCTAAATTATACTTTTCAACATCAAGCGTTTTATGAAAATTGAGTGGCTTTTTAATTTGGAAACAAGTGCGGATTTACACTGAAAAGACTCATTTACAATTATTTGTTATTAATATATACCTGTTTCCAAAATGCTCCCTCTCACCCTAACTTTGATTTCATCACTTTCCACTGATGTCTTTTTCCCTTTGCCTTTATCTTTCTAGGTGTTGCTCCTTTACTGCAGCAGTTCTTCTCACTACTGCTCATTGTTGTCTCTCTGCCTCATACTGCTGGGGAATATAATTAATATTATTCCTAATGGTTTTCTTGCCTGCAGAGTTTGGCCACTTGGGAGAATGAAAACAAGATCTATTGCAAACAAACTCTTATTGAGGGAGATGGCCCCAAAACATACTGGACTCGAGAATTAGCTAATGATGAGCTGATTTTGGTAAGAACCTTGAACCTACCCCATACATACACCATATTAACACTTTTGTTGCCATGTAGTATGACTTACTCTTTTTCTTACTTAAATCTGTTTGGAAAACTACCATTTTCGTAATACTTTACAGTACAATTCATTCATCACTTTTTTCCTTTCTTTTTAATTTTTTTTAAGAACAAATGAAGATATATGCAGGTTCTCACTCACATTTATTGCTGTAACTTTTGCCATACTTTACTGGTAGAATAATCACAGGTGGGCCACTTCTGCTCTGTAAATTCACACCACCAAAGAATTTGCTTGATTTATTGCAGGTTTTCTCTGGTGAAAGTGAGATCAAGGCATTTGACCTCATTTCTGTGGAACCTTCTTTTTTAAGCATGTGTATAATATGTCGCTTTTTATCTACAATCACATGGTGTATAGCAGGAAAGATGTGGCATGTTGTTAGCATGCTCTAATCTGATTTGTTTATGAAGAACATATAATTCCTCCCCTGCCTCTGCCATCTTCCCCAGTTCCTCTGTCATCTCTGAATCCAGTTCAGAATTGCCTTCATGGGTTTCTCAGCAATACAACGATTTGTACATTCGCTGTCAGCCAACATCCCCCCACTCCCATGTGACCTTCCGTATGGCAGCAGGGTTACTGTAGGCATTCTGAGCAGTGCTTCTGCAACCACCTCGCCTTGTATGCCATGAATCACGTGCAGTTGATTTATTTATATTGTACTTATTTCTGTTAGACTTCTCTTCACTGAATCTTTCCTCAGTAGTCCCTCTACATTAATGAAACAATATCCAGAACTGGATAAAGACACAGTTTCTCTGGATAAAGACCCAGTTTCTCTGAGTTACAAGTAGCACAGTTCATCTTGAGTTCCGAATCATTTTATTGCACATATTCTTACTAGTAAATTCGGGATAAAGAGTTGATTAGACTGTTATGCCTCATCAGTTTGGGCATGGAAGGCAGGCTGCTGGAGTGACGGGTAAGAAAATATCAAAGCAGGGAGGTTTTATTTCAAACTATCACACTAACTAAAGCTCTGCACTCTAAAAAACAAACAGCCACCCCGATGTTTCTCTTAAGCAGTTGGAGCTCTGTTTTTAAGATTGCATCTGAAACAAAAACAGGACCCATATCTAACCAAGTGTAAACAAAAAGCTTTTAAGGTGTTAATATTATTCCAGACATCTTTGAACTGTTCACCCACCCCTTATGAGGATGTGTATGCTGTTAGTGAAATCACGCTGTATTGAATCAATACTCCAGTTCTGGATAATTTCTTTTGACTCAACCACTGGAATTCTTTATATTATCAAAAAACTTCAGGAGGCAAAGTACTTTAATCTCTGCTTCACATCTTTATATATAATGCAGTGGACAAAATATAGTCTCAATTATAATTTTTCCAGTTTTCTCACCATACATTTCTGTAGTTTATTATTTAAGCAACACACTAGTAAGACAGCTGTTAGACAAAGTGAACTGCTCCCAGCAAAGCAAGAAAGCCAGTCATAATACAATTGCCTCCTGTAGTCAGCAATGTGAAATTACACTGCTGGGGAAGAAGAATGAGGTTGGTTAAGAAACCAGAGTGAATCAAAGATGATAAAGCCATCTAACCGTTTTTCTTGTATAATATAATCTGTTGAGCTTTTCTGAATTAATTACTTTTCAAATTAGGATATAAATTAGAAAAACTTCCTTCTTATTAAAATAATTTCATTTATAGGGACTCAATCACAACTTTTGATAAGTTGTTTTACTGGTTATTTGCCTTGCCATTAAAATATACACATTATTTCTAATCTGTATATGTCTAGATTCAACTTCCAGTCATTACATATTGTGTATAAAAGAACCTAAATAGGCTGCCTAAATTTTGTTGTTGCAAATACTTTGCTTAACAACACTGATCAAGCCACCTCTTGGAACAACCTTCTCATTGTTAAGCTAAACTGAGCCCTTCAATATAAAGCAAGCTTTCTTTGAATCATTCTTTCAGTTCTTCTAAATCCACCTCCAATTTATCAATTTCCTTTCTAAACTATGAACACCAGAACCACGCATACTGTTTTACTAGCAATTATGCTTGCACCTGATGTAGTGGTGACTTCATCTACCTAACCTTATCTGAAATTTTTATTATTTAGATGCAAAGAATTTGTTAACTCTTCTTTTGGAACTCCTGCTCAGCTGATCATGATCCCAAGTAATTTTCCTGGTTTCTAATTCCCCAGACTGATTCCCTTCCCTTTCGCCTGCAGGTTGGGACTGTTTTCATCAGTTGCAATGTATGATTTTGTTGTGGCTGTTATGAAAACATAGTGTTTGCTTCCAAGTGATCCAGATCATTCTCTCTGTATCTTACTGTTTAGCATGATATGCAGCTCCGTTCTCCTACCTCTTTTCTGGAGCATAATGGCTTCTTTTGCTTTATGGAATATTAGGATATTACTTGGTCCTCAGGACAAAGATTTTCAAGCCCCTCATGACATTTGCTGGGACTGAATGTACAAAGCTTTTAAATACATGGATCAATATGTTCAAAATCTTCTCACACCCTAAAGCTCTTGAGGTATTTCTAGGAGTAATGGTGGTGAGGTATTTCTAGGAGTAATGGTGGTGAGTGTCGGGTCTCTTGGTCCTTTGGTGAAGTTAAGATGGCCAAAATTAACTCTTCTGGGAGGCAGCAAAGGGTTCTACTGTTTGGAGGAAGACAGAAGAGGATAAGGGAAGCCACATTTTCTTGTCTGTGGCCCCTAATTTTAGAACCCTAGAATATTCCCTCCAAACAATTATTTGGGCTTTAAAAGCTAAACTACCTGGAGGGATTGGCTGAGGTGTGTTCCTCAACTATAAGAGGGAACAAAGTAGGAATAGGAACTCTTAAGGAGAAGACCCTGTGATCCCTTTTGATCTCTTGCTTCTTAACTGTGTTTGGGGTTTTCATCACTCCAGTGGAGAAAGATTCAACTTAGATTATCTTATGCTTGGAAATTTTCCTTGGATCTGAGTCTGCAAATCCCCACTTGCATCTTACTTCTTCAAAACTAAGATCACAGTGAGAAGAGATCTTTCTTTGTCTTCTCCTTTCTTTCTTTTTCCATCCTCCCATCTTTGTTAGAGTTCTTTAGGACTTGAAATTCATTCTCATTCAGTTTTCTACCCATATAACTTCAAACATTTAATAATTCCCATCTTCACACTTCTCAAACCTCCTTACTTACCTAATAAATATTTTCTGTTTCTTTACTCTTTCTCATGTGCTTAGGTAAGCTTTTGTTATTTCCATTCTGGCAGAGTGCCTTAAATAGGCAGAAGTAAACCACATTCTTGTGAACTTGTAGAGTCTGCAGCTGGGAAGCTGTCTTTTATGGGGCAGAGCCTGTGATGTAGCAGTTTAGGAACTCTGTAAGGCTGATACTTATTCTCACAGTCTCTTCTCCCGTTTCTCTATCCAGAGAAATCTTTCAAGAAGTCTTGAGTCTCCTTCTAAGTTATTACATGCATTTGCAGAAGAAATCAAGAAAACTCATACTCCATTTGGAAAAAGTTTCAAGAAGGAATCTAAACTGTGTTAGACTGAGGCATGAATGGAAAAAAAGGGTTGGGGCAACAGGCAGGGGGTGAGGAATGAATTTTACTCTCCTAATGCTGGCTGCATAAATGTTGGAGCTTTGCCACATAATTTTGATCTAATGTGCTGCATTGCTTAGGGGGTCCATTTGATTATGACATTTTCCTAGGGGAAGGATATATTTTTCTCCCCACACAACATGTTAAATAAAATGTATTCATTATCACATATAATAAAAAAAAAATAGTGTTGAATTGTCATGACTACCACAGAGCTAAAATGGAAACCATATTATTGTGTAATTATCAATCTTTCTTGCATCCTGGCAGAAGAATTCCTTATGTTCTTCAAAGATACTCCCTTGGAGCAATATGATAGCCTTCCATGTCACATCATGTCCTCTGGTACACAGATGCTGGGAACAAGCTATTTAGTTAGCAACGGTTTTCTTTGCCTTCAGGTACCAGTTAAATTTTCCTTTAGTTCTCCTTAGCTCCTTGCAGCATGGAGAATGAGATTACTCTTATTAGTAGCATAAATAATACTTGGGTCATCCAATGGAAGATGTAGGTCTAAAGTCCTGTTAGAAAAAAAAAGTCCTTTCAGCTGAGTAAGGGAAGGAGGATCAAGCTCTGCTTTATGAAAAAGGTGGTGTAAATGTGTTAGAACATTGCAACTACTTTCATCAGTGCTGTTTATTCTGATCTCATCTGATGCACTTGCTGGGATTTCAGTGCTGCATTTTTAGAAATACTGAACAATGCAGATAAAAAAATTCCACAGAATATGCAAGCAAGGGAGGGTGAAAAGGACAGATCCCCGTCAAAGTTCACATTTGTTTGTCTTGACTGTATCTTTAGATTATATTGTATTGTACTTTAAGACTGTAATGCATAAGAGAGTCAGAATACCGGTATTTACAAGTCCACATTCATAAACTATACTCGGATTAGCACTTGAGCAATCAAGATCAGAATATAACACAAAAATATACGTTTCCTTTGCTTGTCTGAAAATTAAGATCTGGGATTAAGTCTATTCTAATATGCTTTTTGTTCCCTTTTATACTCTATAATGCTTTTGCTGTTGCTGTTTGTTTTTGTTGGGGACGTTAATGAGCTATCAATCACTTGTGTAAGTCAGAACAACAAAAGGTCTGCTCTTTACAAAGTTAAAGGATGCTGCTTCCAAATGTTAGTTATTCAAATGAGAAACATTTGTATTCAAACTTTATCTGCACTGCTGCTTTCATGGCTCTCTAAATTTTAGTTTAATCTGTAACACACAAACATTTTAGAGTGGATGATTACTGAAGATGGGCTTTAAAAACAGCCTCAGACCGCATTTTACACAGTTCATGTATCACACAGGGGTTCTCAGAATCAATTATAGCAAGGGTCAAAGATCAGAACATTAGGGGGGGTTTCAAGCATAGTTTCTATTCTACATTCCTTCCCCAGAAAAATCATGCCGTAGTTGATTAAAACCAGTGAACTGTGGAGCCTAAATGAGTGAGTGAACATTTTTTAAATTATATTGCTGGCTTCTAAAATTAAACATAGTAGGTGAGAACGGTCAATGTAGATTCAGAAAGATACTTTGCAGCCGAATGCTAATTTGTGATGTGCCTAAGCCTTATATCAGACAGTGTTAAACTACCTAAGTGTTTAAGTTTTCTATAGTTTTTGGAGTGTGATCTTAAATCAAATGAGTTATCAAAAGGAAGGTCTACTCATACTGAGGTCAGTGGGGGGTTTTGCTGCTGACCTCATTAACGCAGCCTTGATAGAAGTTCAGAAGTCTATAATAAAGCATGTGTATGTGTTGCATTGACATTATGCTTTAATTTACTATTTGCCGTGAGCAGATTTACAAGGGGGCTAAAAGATCTGCAACCCCTGCTCACTAGTACAGCCTGGTCTGGTGCACATCCCAAACGTATAAGCAGAGAAAGAAGCCAAAGCCATTTGCATCTCAGCTGTGTCTGATCCTATATATATATATATAGCCTCTTATAATATCAGTTGTAGCTTAGATGTTCTCTGCGTATTGGCTTTCAAGACTACTACTGGGAGGTGCCATTGTCTCATGTTCTTACCTCTGTCATTCATTTGCTGCATGACTCTGAGGAAACTGTATAATATAGCAGTTCTCAAACACAAATACCAACATTTAGGTACCTTGATACATGACCTGATTTTGCATAGTCCTGTCAATTGATATCCTACAGAAAGTGAGGTTGTATATTGGGTGAATTGCTATTAATATCCAAGTTTGAAAGTGGGGGCTGCACCTTCTGTGACTACAGCCCCATAATGGTCCACCTCTTTCATAAAACATTATGGGAGTCAGGAGGAGAAAGGAAATGTGCAATATGCCTTTGTTGGGAAGATTTATATCTTTATTCTGGATAACATGGAAGTTCGCGTGTGGACAAAGCCTTTTCTGAGGATTCATTTAAGTAATACCTTCTCCATTTGTTTGCTGATGTATTCTGTCTTCTTTTTGCAAGTTGCATCTGCAGGTTGGTCAGTCATGAGCAGACAATGGGATTTTTGCATACACTGGCAGAAGTGATCTTTCCCAGGAGACTGTTTCAATGACAGTCTTCCTAATTACACTGTGTGCTCCACTTATCACAGAGGCTCAGGAGCAAATGTTTATAAAGAATGCCTTCAAAAAGCAAATTTACTTGTACAGTAAGATAGTACTTCCCTGTAATTCTCTTCTAATCTCTAATGATGTCAGTGGTCATCAGATTTTGAGTGAACTGAGAGAGGTCAATTTATTGGATTATCCCCCTGTGCAGGGCTTTGTTTGTAGCGTGCTTTTGGACTCTTAGCTTCAGCTTATGACAAGCTAAGTGAAGAAAACAATTCTGCAATTTGCAATCATTGCAAATCTAAAATCCTATTTTAGATTTAAGTAGAAGCCTTACATTGTAGCATTTTGTAAGATTAGTGAGACCTTCGCAAGCTGATGAGAAGGTGGTGTTTGAAAATCCTGCATCTTCTCATTAGATTTGAATTGCAGTTTGGTAGTGTTGCCCTTTTTTTTTCAGTTGCTCTAGTGAAACTTCACCACCAAATAGCCAGGATTGCTTGTTCTTTTTCTTTTTATTAGGAAATTCTACTCCTTTGAGTCATGGAAATCTTTAAAGTCTGCTTGTTCTCATAGGTACTATCACTTCTTTCCAATCTAGAATTAGAACTATAGACCCTAAACTGCATCATCCTACCTCTAAATACAAGGATTTAAGTGTGAAGGATAGAGGAGTAACAGCAGCCTTTTGATTTTGAACTTCCCCTGAACTTGGGCCCAGCTGTACATTAGATGTTTCTGTGAGTAATCACAAGAAAAGGAATGCAGCAAGTTTGAACACATTCCTCTTTGCTTTGTTTAGCAACATTTAGTGGAGTTTTATCAACAATACTAGTAAATTGCAATAAGATATGGAAACACCTTTTACATAAGTCCACATTTACATGACGTACATAACCATGACAATCAAAGCCATTTATTTACATGCTTCAGTATGGAATTAGGTTGCTAATCATCTGAATGGGTCTAAAGTATAAGATCTAAGTGCTAAAAAATGCACTATTTCCTAGAACAGGTCAGCAGCCACATAACCTAAGCTGAGTCTACAAGAAAAGGATGCCTGGCTGTTTGACAAGTGCCCAGTGGCTACGTGGTACTCCAGAGAAATTGTAATTGGACTTTGCATGAATTTTATCTCTGTATGATCTAGATTTAAAGATATGATTGTGTTAAATTATAGTGGTTTTCCAGACTGTGAGACTGCACAACAGTCAGTCTGTGTGTACATACACAGACTTGGTGCCTCTGAAATGGATTCTGGATGCACCCATACTATTGAGCTTTCCCAGACAGTTACTATTTCTTTTTTCTTCCTCCACAAATCTTTATTTTCACACTCCCTCCTGTGGGTCTTGCAAGGAAGCTGCCAGAGTACACTGATGTCTTAGGAGCAAGTTCTGCCTGGGAGCGCAGTCTCAGAACTGAACACTAGAATTTCAGACACTCAGAACTACCCCCTAGGACAGACTTGCAGTATGGATCACATCTATTTCCATCTGCTCTTCCCTGCAGTGTTCCCTCTCAATACAACTGCCGACTTCTTGTGAGAACAACTGCTGTTGCAGAGGTTTAGGGGAAGGAGTTTGTTTCTTAATTTCCCTGAAAGAACAGACATAAATTTACTAGGGAAGTTACAATAGTTTTGGCAAACTGCTGCTGCAGCCTTTCTCATTAGAACTGGCTGATGTGGCACCCACTCACATCATAAGATGTGTCTGCATAGCTGTGCAGCTCCAACCATCAGCCTGGGACCAAGCCAGCTCTTCAAGAACACTACACAAAGACTGTTCTACTCTTATTTTTGATTTGTGTTGAAATAGCACAGGGGGACCCAAACTTCACTGTGCTTAGCAGTGCCCGAATGTACCATAGAAAGACAATCACTGTCACAGTGACCTTCCAGTCTCCACAGACAACATCATGCCCTGGATGGTCTTGACCCTAGCTTGCTTTTGCTGGCAAAGCTCTGGACAAATTAATTTTGCCTTTGTGTATAACTTTGGAAATGCTGAAGAAAGCCATAGGAAGGATATTTGTAGCTGGTGCTGTGGGCAGTAGAGAACTCTCTGCATCCTTTAACATTCATTATCAGACATTTTCATGGATAAGCTAAAAATATATATAAAGATTGATATGATAAGCTTTTTATATGCATAAAACCAAAGCTTATATCTCCAAAATACTGCTCAATAAAGTGAACAAAATATAAGCCAGAGTCAGTTTTAAAGCCAAGTCCTTTCAAAGAGGTGTTGGCCAAAACATGACATAGAAAGCATTAAAACAAATAAAGTCCAGCTGAATTTTCATAACACACTGGGGTACGTCTCAATTATATTCTTCAGTGAGACCTTGGCAGTTATTACAGCCAAACATCCCACCTCACAGCTTGTTAGTGGTGAGCTTTGAAACAGTCAGTGTAGCTGAAGTTTTTTGCAGTCAGTATTTCCTCGCTCTTGCACCCATTATTTCCTTCATGTTTAATTGCTTGCTTAGATTTTACAGATCTGAAATTACATACAAACACTTTGGGGTTTAGGTGGTTTTCTCAGACAGCCACCACAATCGCTGTCCTGCCGAAATGTCCTGATAATCTGTACTGCAATATTGCTGTGGTAGAATTGCCTTTTAAGTGCAGAACTACAGAGCGATGTAAAAAACGCAGGCTTTCAGATATCTGAAACTCAGTGGTATAACATCATACAACACCAGCTCTAAGTATCTGAAAAATCAAGGTACTCTGAGGTGCTGCATCTGGTGTAAGAAACAGGATGGTAATGGGACACAGTCTGTAGTGTCAGTGACTTTAGGATGTGTAGAGATCAAACATTTGTGAGATCTTATAGGTGTTTAATCATGTGAAAAGAATTTGATCTTCACTACATTTTTCTCCATTATGTGCCCTCATTTCAGACCCTTATCCTAGTTAACAAATTCACTGGTTACAGTCACAGTATCCTGAAAGAAGGTTGCGATTGACACTGCCCACATGACAGCTTGGGAGAGAGGTTTTTGGTATCCTAGCATGGTGTGTTAACATCTTGCAGGAGCATTATGGTTACAGGTGATAGGTAGGTGTACATCCTCCTGTTCTTCAGCATTGCTCAACTGACTTCATTTGAACTACTGTGATTTGTACGTGCAAATATCAAAGAATACCTTTTGAACTTGCCATCTGAATTCCACCTTCAGCATTTCCAGTTCGAAGTGCTGCATATGTTTCTAAATGTAGCAACACTACATTCCAAATTCTCTTTCTTTTTTCATGTTTATTTATGAATGCATACCAAGAAACTAGAGAAAAAGGGAATTTCTGTGTCATTTATCATACTGACAAAATTCATTGTGCCTTGGAAAAAAAGGTCACTTACATTGCATTCCTCTTCCAAAATTACTCCTTTCTTTACTCTCAAGTGTCAAAAGCCATAGGAAAAATGTATTTCCGCTGTAGAACGAACTACTATAGTAAAAATAACATTAAAAATGGTGTTAAATGTTTGCTGGTTCCATCTCCTCTGATTGGTTTCTATTTCTTTTCCAGACCTTTGGTGCTGATGATGTTGTGTGCACAAGAATTTATGTAAGAGAGTAAAAACATCCATTTACTTGTCATCTGGGATGAAGTGGAGAACTGTGAAAATCCCCAGTACAATGAGTATCTGTGTGTGCTGTTACTAATGCGGTGTTGTATGTGACCGTGTGTGTTATATCTGAACCAATATCCTCTATTAAGTGTATTTTGCTTTCATTTTTCATCGCAGACATGATTCCTTCCCACTTTTATGTCATTATTTTTTGTGACTGCTTTGTACTTTGTAGTTATCACTTGCTATGGTTTCATCAGCTATTAAACTTATTGGGCATAACTCACAGCTGTTTGGGGGTGTTTTTAACAGAAAACCCAGCCGTGCTTTGGTTAGAACTGAAACTCTTTTACCCTCTGTTGAAGTCAGCGTGGGGTTTCACTGCTGCTGGCTAGCGCTGCACTGTCAGGGAACACTTCCTAGGGCAACACAAAGCGCAGGAGAGCAAGTGAATTTCAAGGCCTTTTGCAGAGCTACAGGCTGCTCTCTCAAACCCAGAACTCTGCTTCTTTCCTTCTTTCCTGTCTCCTTGGGAGAGTTGTTGAGGAACAATTTCTGTATCCTGTGACTGTGACTGAGCAGAACAAGACAAGACAAGGAGAGATCTTTACCCTTTTTCCTGCTGCGTCTCTGACGAATGCCCAAACTTTCCCTGTTGAGACACTCATTATCCAAGTACAAAACCCAGCTGTACCTACAGGGCAAATAACATTATGATTGTGACTAATACTTACTGTCATCACACCCAAGCACCTCAGGCCTGATCAGGGAGCCAGCAGAATCTGACAAACTACTTGCTTGGGCTGTAAAAAGATAAAGCTGAGGAAAGCTGTTTTTCTCTTTCCTTCTCACCTGCAACAGAGAAAACCGATGGCTTCACTCCCCCTCAGTGTTACAGCTCTCACTTTTGGTTACTCAGTTTTTCATTCTTTGAACAACCAAGTATTTCACAAAACCAGAGCCATAGTTCAAGAATAAAAGAAACACCAAATTTAATGTATTTATTCTGGCTCAGAGTTATGGTCACAGCACTATCAAGTATTAGATTCAAGCTGAACAGACATTCCTTTAATGAATCAGAAACTCTTCTGTTCTTCAGCCTTGGAAATATCTGGAGATTGAGACCAGGAGCACTACTTACTTCAGTGCACTACCTAAGTTTAACTGACCAACTTTCAGCTTTGCAAGAATAGTTTATATCTGCTTCATGTCACACAATCATAGAAGATTTTCAAGAGTTTCAGTGTTAGCAGAGTATATGCCCTGTTCACTGGCCTGCTCAATATTCAGACTGGATAAAAAGGTCCAAATTTTTATTATCTTGGGACGTACATGGGAAACAAATTACTTTGTCTCTTAATCACTCATATAGCTATGCAGAGGAATCCCCTTTGATAGGATTGTCAAACTGCTATGGAGAAATCAGCCATCTGTTCTGTATGTTGCAGTGTGAGCTACAGCAGCACAACAGGAGAGAAACTTACTGTTTTCTTTCTCCTCTGCTCTGACAGGTCACACTTTCTTTCTTTCTCTGCCATCAGCACTCAAGATACAATACTGCAGTTGAAAAGGAAGATCGTTTCTTTCCACACTCTAACCGTAAGCTGAACCCTGTTTCCAAGACCTTGGTTCAGTTGGTACCAATTAAGTACACTCCATGTTAGTTCACATTGAAGCATAGGCTGAAATTAGTTCATTGTGGTTTGGATGCAGGTGAAGTCAACCCCTGAATGGGGTTGAAGAATGAAAAGAATGAAACCATGAGGGGGAATGACAATGATCTACCTTTATTTTCAATTTTTTTCTTTTACGATTCAAATTAAAATAGTTGGGTGTTTTTTCCCAAACAAATTCCATTTCAGGAGTATCTGGACCTGCTTGTGCAATGAGCTGTGCCAAAAGGACTCCATAAAAAGTGCCAGGCTGAGCTTGCTCAAAGCTTCTCAGTGTTGCAGACAAAACTGTCTTGCTACATCAAGGCTGAGAAGTGAATAGCAGTGTGTTGCAGGACATGCTGGCACATGCCATATACTACAGCACCAGGAGCCCACCAACGCCATAGAGTTCTTTGCCTCCACCTCCCAGAAGGTGGGTGGTGGATGTTGGGGCTGGTACAAGCTGATGAGGCAAGTAGTAGAGCCAAAGCCAGTAGGTAGCAGGGCTGCTTTGCCATTCCAGAAAAATACTACTCTTGGCAATTACCTTTTCTGCCTGTGTCTAAAGCAGCCCTGATGCATGTTTTGTGAGGATGCAGCAAGGTATTGGTATGAACCTCACATAGTCTAGAGTATATAAGTGCATTCAATGGAAGCAGTGATTTCTATGTTTCATTTCTAGGAAGGCTCATGCTAAGCTGTTGTGCTGCTGAAGCAAATATCCTTCAGGTTTGCCCATCGACTGGAAAATACCAAGTCAGGTTTCCATCCAACTGGCAACTACTATCCAAGTAGTAAAGCATGAGCTGTGTAACTGAGTTGTAGAGGTTATGATTAAAAACAGGCTTTTGAGGTACAAGCTACTCTGTATAACTGGGAACTTTCTTCTTCCAGCACTGAAACTGTTCCCCTAAGCTTCATTTGCAGTCTGGCAAGACAGAAGTTCCTTTCTTTAGTAATTTCAGCATGGAACCTTCACCACTTGATTGACTTTCATGGACTTACATTAGAGTTACTGGCACATGGCTAAATTCCTATGAACAGAGACTAGAATTGGCCCAGGGTGTTAGTTTTATGGCTCATTGTTGAAATAGTGCAAAGGCCAAATTGCATTTTGTGAGTCCTCCTGGATTTAAAAGCTCTTCAAATCTAGGCACACAAGGATTTGGAATTATTTTACTGGCCAAAAGCCTTGCAGTTGTCTCCTGCCTTTGTTTTCTTTGCTGAGATTAAGCTCCTTTGGGAACATGGAAGTTGAACAATGCCAGAGTAGCCACCAGAGACGGTTCTACCCCCTTTTTGTGTCAAGAATCATGAATTCACCCCTCCTCAGATAAGGTTATGGAAGCAGAATAGAGTTACTGTAGCTGGCACCCACAAATACTTAGTCTCACAATGTCTGAGTGTTAAACAATTGCTTAGCAGAATAGGATCCTGAAAGCTTCAGGCAGCCACTATCTGCATGTAAGAGGGACAGGCTTTTACAGGCAAAGGTGCCAGGACAATGGAACACCTAAGGCTTACATAAATGGTTTGTCGATTACTTGATAGCATGTGGATATCTGAAAAGGGCTCCAGGGATTTTATGCATATTGCCTTCCAGATTCAAATCAGCGATGCTCTTTGCATCACTAAGTCCAGTCTATGATGGAACAAGCAGTGGAACCAGGGACAGAGCCTGGTTCACAGTTATATTTATTGGTGAGCAAGCAGAAACTTCCTTCCCCTCATGCTGCTGTGTTCCAATTACCACTTTGACACTTGATCTGTAAGCATTCATTGGTTACAAGCATAGAATGGTGACCAACATAGCTCACTTCCGTATGGATGGCAGCTGATTGACCACTGTATGCATAACCATCCACTGCATGTCTGCTGTCTTGCAAGGAAGCGAGACTTCTGAGGTCTACCAGTGCTCAATGGTGATGGCCAAATCACTTCCAGGATTTTTTGCTAAGAATTTTCTGACCACATAAGTGAATGTATTAGGGAACTCTTCCCTGTGAGTTTATTACATCCTACTATTTATGTTTTAGAGTATTTCTCCACACAAGGCCAGCAGAATACAGATAGCTAAGAAAGTGAAAAAGTCTTTGTCTTGCAGTTGCCTAAACAGTCCTGCTGGTTGAATGTATACAGTACAAGCGAGTATTCAGTTGCCTAAATATAGGTGTCTACAGCTATTTTAGATGTCCTATATATCCAAGAGATCTGCACAAAGCCGACATATAACACAGGCTCTGCATGAGATCTGTGCTTTTTTTGGAGAGGCAGAAGCAGACCAGAAACAAAACCTGAGGGTGTCACAACATAGATGGCTGATTAGGCAACTGACTCCCAGTCTATGTGCCTGCAGGCCTGGGACCATGCTGTGCACTGCATTGACCACACTGATAACTGACTGCTACAGCAAGACAAAGAAAGGGTTATCTGCAGCAACTTGGCACATGTGTAACATTTCACAAAACAAAACTTCCCCACATGAGTGGAACACTAGGATACAGCAGCCATATTCTCTGCCCTAGGGCAAGAAGAGTTCATTTTAGGATTTTCCTTTGATTTTTCATACTTTGTTCTTATACTGCTTTTACAAAACATTTACTGTTTTTCTTCTCTCCAGGAAAAATAAACATCCTAACCAGTAAACATGTCAGGCAGTGAAAATGGATTCAAAATAATCCACTGTGGGAAACCCAAAATATAAAAAAAATAATCTCAGCCAGAAATGTGATATTGCATTGAATCGTTCTGTTCACACATACCTGTATCACCAGCTACTATTGTGTGGGGACAGAGCTGTACCACTGCATGCTCTGTGCCCTGGAGTGCTGGTGCTGCTTTAGCTCAATTGATCACTTCTTGCACTGTGAGTGCAAAGTGATCTATTTCTGCTGCCAGAAAGCTCCAAATCCTACATGGCTGCAGAATCCAGAGTCTTTGAATCCTTTTAGAATATGTGCTGTCTGAATGCTGCCATGTCAGAAGTGGAACAACCTGAGGTGTTCTCTTTGATATTACAGATGGCTGGCTGGCTGAGGGTGGTGAAAAAAATGCTGTTGCTAATAATGGAGGAATAGGTGGGAATAGATGCCATAGTACTTTCTTCTAGTTTCTTCATGTTCATCATTCCCTCCCAGATCATGAGGCCAGTTTTGATCAGAAGCAAAAAAACTCCCAGGATTCTTGAATTTTTAGGTCACTTTTACTTGACTCTTGCTGCACTCTGCTAAATCAAAGTGAAGTTCTGAATCCAGGGATTTTGTCTTGTGTCTTTCATTCTGTTTCCATCTGAGGGCCCGCCAGTGATGCTCCACTGACATGATCTGTGGCAGGCACTCAGGTTTTTTGCCATGTTCGCAAAACAAAGAGGAATCTGGCAGCTAACCTGTTTTACAAGCTTCAGTACAATTTGCTGTTAGAATTTGCTGTATGGTCATACACTGCAACTAGAGAGGAAGGTGGTGAGCCTTGAAATGGTTTCTGCAGCAGGCAATACCGCAGTCTTCTACTAGATACTGCTGTCTCCTGCACAAACCAGCTGCTCACTGAGGGATGCAGTTCAGTTGTTCAAGTAGAAAGAAGGTAATAGTCTACGCAACTGACTGAAATACAGATTTCTTAAAAGCCCTGTAG